AAAAAAAGGGAGACTGGACCCGGTTTCCAGCAAGTGCAGCTCCTCACCAATAGAAAGGACTTAAAGGAGCAATCAACAATAGCAAAAAACAGCATTGACAAATGAAAAATGAGTGTCTTCCATTCTTTGCAATATATTGACTACTTTCATTTAAAAAAAAAAAAAAAAAAAAAAAAAAAAAGAAGAAGAAGAAGAAGAAGAAGGGAGAGGGAGTGGGCATACTCACACCATGACCTTTTTACTTCTTGCCAGACGTAGGCTGGGTCAGATTCGTCGAGGTCCGTCCGTAAATGCGGTGAGACACATCTAAGTTTGTGCTACCGTCTTCCCCCGAACATAACGCACCCTAAAACTGAATGTATACGAGGTATACTTCCGGCCAGATGCAGCCAAAATGAGGGTGCGTTGTGTTCGGGGGAAGACGGTAGTGTGAGTATCAGAGTACTAAGCCCTGAGAAAGAGGCCGCTTCTCCGGACAGGTGCGCCTCAGCCAGCATGAAGTAAAAAGCATGAAGTTCGGGGCTGGAGTTGGAGGAGTGGATTGTCTATAAGCTTTTAAAAAGGTTCACAACTTCACACCACAGCGAGAGACAAGGCACCAATTGCCCATAAATATCGTCCTGTCGCGTCCTACTGGTAGTGCGGGATTCAAGGAGCTCTCTACAGTAGTACCAGCATGTCAGGTACGTAGCTAGTAATGAGCACATGCACATTGGAGATGGGAAGGACACTCGAAGACGAAGGCTCACGAAGCTGGTGAGGAGAAGCAGAAGGCAGTTCAAGGCACGTTAAAGGAATGGTCGACTTGACCGGAAGGTGGGGATGAGAAGGGAAAGGGGAAGGAGACGCAAAAGCAGGAGAGAAGAAGAGAGAAGAGAAGAGAAGAGAAGACAAGAGAAGAGGAGAGGAGAGAAGAGAGGGGAAAGGGGCTCCATCAGGCTCCAGGTTCCACGTAGCAGACAGATAAGGACGGGCAAGGTAAAGGAGGAAATGAAAGGAAGAGGAAGACGAAGAAGAAGGGATGCCAAGCTGGCCGTGCTTAGGGCGTACTACTCACACTAGCAGTATCTCAAGTGTATCTGACCGCATTCACAGCCATACGTGGAAGTATCTGGACGCAATTCCGTCAAAAAATAGGTGAAAAAGTCGTAGTGTGAGTATGCCCTTAGGTGGTATGAGAGTTGGGATCGGCTCGGAGTGCAGGTGGCTTCCTCGTGTTGTGCGCCAGGGGAACAGTAGGCCATGGAGGAGGAGGAGGAAGAAGAAATAGACGGAGGAGGAGGAGAAGGAGGAGCTCAGGAGGAGGAGGAGGAGGAGGAGGAGGAGGAGGGGCGGGAGGAACATGAGGAACAAGAGAAAAGAGGTGGAGCAGGAACAAGCGGTAAGACGAGGAAGGAGAAGGACTCCGAGGGGAAAGGAAGAAGGTAAATACCGATAAGGAAGATGAAGATACCGGCTTTGGGGGAGGGGGAGGGGGAGGGGGAGGGGGGGGGGGGGGAAGGATGTTCGTTATGCGAGGGAGGCATCCTAAGAGCCGAGGGAGGGGCTAGGGAGGAGGCGGGCCCGAAGAAGAGGAAGATGAAACAAGCATAAGTAGCAGTGAAACCGGCTAGTGAGCTACTAGGGTGTACTAGGCGGGCACGAAGAAGAGGAAGATGAAACAAGCATAAGTAGCAGTGAAACCAGCTACCGTCTTCCCCCGAATATAACGCCCGGTCATTATAGCTGTATTTGGCACAACTTTCAGCCCAGATCCGGCGATAATTACCGGGCGTTTTATTCGGTGAAGACGGTACTGGGTTGTTTGCGAGATACTGATCAGATGCATTGTTCGTGCGAAACCGAAGGAAAGAACAGAAACCTTTTTGACCTGTAGGCTGTAGCCCTGTCCTCGCCGCCTCGGTCGGTGCTCTTGCTGTCAAGCCGTCAAGCTAATCCTTGTTCTCTTCCTCCTCTCGAGTCTCGACCTCTGTTGATACGTATGTCATTGGTTGTGCTTGTGTTCTGTTTGTGCGCGCATGCAGTTGGAAGAGCGCCGAGCGGTGCACGTCCCATTGGTGGCAGGCAAGCAACGGGCACCGTCATCAGGGGATAGGACACACAGAGGACAAGTCCGCAGCAGCTGGTGGGAGAACTCCACCAGCAGAAGCAAAGCTGCTACATTGCTAATAGATAGATAAGAAGACCCTTGTTTTATCCCTTTTTTTCTTCTTCCCTTTTTCTTTCGAACCATTTCCCGATTTATGCGTGTCATCCTTGCGCACGGGCCATGCTCATCCTCTCTGCATCGTTCCATTTTTAACGGATGTCCCCAAGGACCCCTTTTTCTTCCCCCCCCCCCCCCCCTCTGGAACATCGACTTTTTTTCCCCCCAGCGATTAACTACACTTGTTTGATGTCTTCCGTCTGTCAATCGTGTATATCGTCATTATCGAGAACTGCCTGGTAAACCATAGGCAGAGACGCAGAAGAAGAAGAAGAAGAAGAAGAAGAAGAAGAAGAGGACAACAAACGAGGGGGGGCTGTGACAGAATGTTTCGTCGGAGCTTCACCGACTCGTCACTGGTAGCAGTGGTAGCAGTGCTACGCTGATTCAGAAAGATGCCGTAGTATCGTCGCAATCATCGGCGCGTCAGTGGGCCTCGCTCCACTACTCTATAATAATCTATACTATAAGCGTGCAAAAAGAGAGAGTGGATCTTCCGCTAGGACATGGAAAGATACACCCGGCCGGGCGCATGATTTTTGTCGTTTGCGCATGTGGAGAGGAGTGGAGCGATGCCCAATGAGTGGTGTTCTGAGAGTCGTCGGTTCGTTTTGCGCGTGATCCATCACCGAAGTCAGCATCACTAACGCTGGTGGGGGCGTTGTTTCAACAACAACGACAAAAAAAAAAAAAAAAAAAAAAAAAAAAAAAAAAAAAAAAAAAAAAAAAAAAAAAAAAAAAGGAAAGTCAGTGACCAGCAGCAGCTGGGGTCTCACCGGCAGAGAACAACAACAGCGGTCAACCTCAATCCGACCGCAATTGCGGTCGGATACACGTAGGGTCTGACCCTCAGTAAATGGTGAGACAGGATACTAATTGCGGTTTCAGTGGGTCAGGTTTGGTTTCTGATGGGTCGGCGCAGTCACTGCTTTGCATTTCCGACGACCGGTCGGCGATGTCAGTGACTCTATGCTCCTTCATCACCGGATTGTGTGTACCAGGCTGAGGGTCGTTCGTTGCTTGGCATTGCAGCTACTGTTATCGATTTTAATAGCTTGACTCTCTGATATCAATGACTGTTACTAAATCGAGTTGCACCACAGAAACTTATACGGTGTACTGAGGAAAGTGATGACTTGTTGATTAGATATTGGGTTCCGCTTTCTCGCTGGCGATCGATCGTCCGCTCTCTCTAGTGGCTCTAGCCATGATGAGATGAGACGAGTTCGTTAGCAGTGGGCGCAGGACCGTTGACCGTTGACCGTTGACCGTTGACAGTTGACAGTTGACAGTTGACCTTGCATAAGAGGAGGAGATTGAGCAATTCGCAATAACATCGAAGTACAGCACGGTGGACAAGAGTCGTCTATAATCTCCCCCGGCTTCTTCCTCCTTCCTCAGTCGACCTAGCTGAGGCTAGCTCCCCTTGTCGGACCCATCTCAGACCTCTTCCCTCATCACGATTGTCTAATCGAAGTTCTTCTGCGGACGGCTGGCAAAATTAGACATCTGAATGCTGTGAAGCGGACAGGCTTGCACTGCGTTGGAGATGGTGGCGTTCTGTGACACGTGTTGACAGCAGAGGACGTCCTGAGAGAGAGAGAGAGAGAGAGAGAGAGAGAGAGAGAGAGAGAGAGAGAGAGAGAGAGTGCAGGCGGAGAAACGTCACCAGCTTGTTATATCTTCCGTCTAAGGATAACTGGACGTCGAGGAATCAGTTGCGACGAGCAACTGGCTGGGGTGTGTCTATCTTGTCTTTCTGTTTTTTTTCTTCTGCTCCTGGTTAGGCATCGCAAATGTCTCCAACCTCTTCCATGCACTGAAGTGACTGCATCATTGCTCCGGATCACCTGAAGTTCCCGGTAGCCTGCGCACAAACTGAACACGTACACGCGTAGACAAGCACAGAGCCGTACACACACAGACAGGGCAATTGTGTGTGTGTGTGTGTGTGCGTGTGCGTGTGCGTGTGTGTGTGTGTGTGTGTGTGTGTGTGTG